GCCGCCTGTGGGGAGGGACAGGGCCGGGCACGGCCCCCTCGGAAGCCGAGACGTGCCCGAAAAACCGTTCAAAAAACGCTCTGCAAAGAGCCCGGAGTGCCCCAACCTGCTGAGGGAAAAACCGTTCAAAAAAAGCACTGCAAGGAGCCCGGAATGCCTAAACTTGCTGAGGGAAAAAAGCGTTCAAAAAAAGCACTGCAAGGAGCCCGGAGTGCCCCAACCTGCTGAGGGAAGGCTCCTCTCCCCTCCCCTCGGCATTGCGTCCACGGGTCTTTCTCGACCCGCTTAAAAATATCACCCCCAAAAAACGAGTTGGGAAATGTGCTGAAAGTCGTCCGGTGTGGGAGCCCCGACATGTTGGTGGAGTCGCAGGATTCTAGAGGGTTTCTTTCCCCTCAGAATTGCATCCAGGGGTGTTGCTCAGCCCCTCAGAAAATCTGTATTCCCCAAGAACAAGTTAAAAAACGCACTAAAAGCTGAGGGAATCACAGAATAAAAGGCTCTTTTCCCCTCAACTGCATCCAGAGGTGTTTCTTGGCCCCTCAGAAAATCTGTGTTCCCCAAGAACAATTTAAAAAACGCATTGAAAGTCACCCATTGTGGGAGCCTTGAGCTGCTGAGGGAAGGCTCCTTTCCCCTTGGAATTCTGTCCAAGGTTTTTCTAATTCTCAGCAGAAAACAAAAATACATTCCCCTAGAAGCAAGTTGTGGGAGCCTCAAGCTGCCGAGGCAAATCTCCTTTCCCCTCAGAGTTGCATCCAGGGGTCTTTCTCACCCCCCTCTGAAAATCAATATATTCCCCCAAAATGAGTTTAAAATGCACTAAAAGTAGCTTGGTGTGAGAACCTTGAGGTGCTGAGGGAATCACAGAATAAAAGGCTCTTTTCCCCTCAGAATTGCATCCTGAGGTGTTTCTCAGCTCCTCAGAAAATCTGTATTCCCCAAGAACAAGTTAAAAATGCACTAAAAGTCACCTGGTGTGGGAGCTTTGAGCTGCTGAGGGAAGGCTCCTCTCCCCTTGGAATTTGGTCCAGGGCTTCTCTAATTCTCATCAGAAAAAAAAAAAAAAAAAACAACCAAAAACAAAAATACATTCCCCCAGAAGCAAGTTAGGTGTGGGAGCCTCAAGCTGCTGAGGCAAAGCTCCTTTCCCCTCAGAATAACATCCAGGAGTCTTTCTCACCCCCCTCTGAAAATCACTATATTCCCCCAAAATGAGTTTAAAAATGCGCTAAAAGTCGTCCGGTGTGGGAGCCCCAACATGTTCGGGGAGTCACAGGATTCTAGAGGGTTTCTGTCCCCTCAGAATTGCATCCTGAGGTGTTTCTCGGCCCCTCAGAAAATCTGTATTCCCTAAGAACAAGTTAAAAAATGCACTAAAAGTCACCTGGTGTGGGAGCTTTGAGCTGCTGAGGGAAGGCTCCTTTCCCCTTGGAATTTGGTCCAGGGCTTCTCTAATTCTCATCGAAAAAAAAAACCAAAAAAACAAAAAATATATATACATATATATATATATATATATATATATATATATATATATATATGTATGTATATATATTCCCCCAGAAGTGAGTGAGGTGTGGGAGCCTCAAGCTGCCGAGGCAAAGCTCCTTTCCCGTCAGAGTTGCATCCAGGGGTCTTTATCATCCCCCTCTGAAAAATCAATATATTCCCCCAAAATGAGTTTTAAAAGCCTTGAGGTGCTGAGGGAATCACAGAATAAAAGGATCTTTTCCCCTTGGAATTGCATCCAGGGGTCTTCCTCATCCTCCTCAAAAAATCAATATATTTCCCAAAAAATTAATTAAAATGTGCACTGTAAGTAGCCCAGTGTGGGAGCCTCGAGCTGCTGATGGAAGGCTCCTTTCCCCTTGGAATTGCCAGATCGGAGCTTCCAGCCTAAATCTATGACAGGGGGGTTTTAATTTTTTTATTATTATTATTATTTTTAATTTCTGGAATGCCCACAAAGATCAAAAAGTAGAGTCTGGCCTTTATCTAATACTTTAATTCTGACGTGTGATACTTTAATCTAGTCATTGCAGTTCCCAGCCAGCCTCCTTGGAGAAATTAGGACATGTTACTTGTTCCATTTGCTTTTTCTTCCTGTTTTAATATTTTTTTTTTTTATCTTGGCTTAAAAGGTGGAAATAAGCAGCCAAGGATTGGCAGACGGATGCAGCCACAGCCAAAACCCCCCAAATAATTGAAGTGTTGAGAATTTTACTTAAATTGTGTGATCACAGAATCCCAGAGTGGGTTGGGCTGGAAAGGACCTTAAAGCTCATCCAGTGCCACCCCTGGGACACCTCCCACTGTGCCAGGCTGCTCCAACCCAGTGTCCAACCTGGGCACTGCCAGGGATCCAGGGATGGAATTCCATCCCAGCCCACCTTCACAGGGAGAAAATTTTCCCTAATATCTGATCTAAACCTGTAATTTCTCAGTGTGCAGCCATTCCCTGTGTGCTGTCCCTGCATCCCCTGGCAATTGTCTCTCTCCAGCTTTCCTGGGGCTCCTCCAGGCCCTGCAAGGCCGCCCTGAGCTCAGCCCAAAGCTTCTCCTGTGCAGGTGAGCAATGCCAGCTGTGCCAGCCTTTCCTGCCAGCACAGGAATGTCCTGAAACTCACCCAGTGCCAGCCCTGCCATGGCAGGGACACCTCCCACTGTGCCAGTGTCCAACCTGGCCTTGGGCAGTGCCAGGGATCAGGGGCAGCCACAGCTGCTCTGGGAATTCTGTCCCAGGGAAACATTTCTCCCTGATATCCCATCTAAAGCTCTCTTTGTCAGCTTAAGGCCGTTCATTCCCATTTGTCACCCAAATCCCTTGTGAAAAGTCCCTCTCCAGGGACAGGGGTGCACAGGGGAATTGTGGGGCCACCCCAGGAGTGACAGGGAGGTGTGTGGTGAGTTGGAATTCTCTATGGAACTGCACCTTCCCGCCGTGGGAGATGCTTGGGAGCACCGTGATTTAAGTGCTCATTTCTCATTCCCCTCAGCCCCAGGAAGATTTGAGGTCCCTTGGAGCTGCTTTTGACACTTCTCTCCTTGACTCTGAGCGTGGCCAGGATGTGGCTCCTGTCCTGGGATGTGGAAAGGAACCCCTGAGGGAGCTGGGGGGGCTCAGCCTGGAGAAAAGGGGACACAGGGGGGATCTCATTGCTCTGCACAGCTCCTGAAAGGAGGGGCAGGGAAAGGAGGAGAGGAAATGGCCTCAAATGGCACCAGGGCAGGCTCAGGTTGGAGATTGGCACAGAAAATTTCCCTGGCAGAGTGGTCAGGCCTTGGGCTGAGCTGCCCAGGGAGGTTTGGGGTCACTGAATTGTCCCAGAGCAGCCTGGATGTGGCCTTGGGGACAGGGATTGGGGTGGTGCTGGTGGGGCTGGGCTGGCACTGGGTGATCCTGAAGGGTTTTCCCAGCCTTGATTCTGGGATTCTGAGAAGATCCAGCACTTTGTAAACTCCATCTTCAGGGCAGGCTGGATCAGTCACAGCTCTCTGATGCTCAGCCTGGAGCAAAGGAGGCTCAGGGGGGACCTCATTGCTCTGCACAGCTCCTGCCAGGAGGGGCAGGGAAAGGAGGAGGAGAAATGGCCTCAGATGGCACCAGGGCAGGCTCAGAGATTGTGCCAATCTCTGTGTTGGAGATTGGCACAGAAAATTTCCCTGGCAGAGTGGTCAGGCCTTGGGCTGAGCTGCCCAGGGAGGTTTGGGGTCACTGAATTGTCCCAGAGCAGCCTGGATGTGGCCTTGGGGACAGGGATTGGGGTGGTGGCACTGGGTGATCCTGCAGGGCTCTTCCCACATGGACAATTCCAA